TCTCTCTCTCTCTCTCTCTCGTTTTCTTCTTCCCCACTATTACTACATCGTCGCTCACCTGCCATTCTTGTCGGATAACACCGCTGGCCACCATATCATTTTCACCGGAAACACCATCGGCCATCTCTCTAGCCACTAAACAGATCAGAAGACGAATAAACAAACAAAGTTGTCTTCATTTTAGGGTTTCAAAATCAGATGAGCTACATATCGGGGTTACAGCATTGCCGCTATCTCTCCTTCTCTGATGTGCCGCTAATGTTTGAAACATCATGTTCGTCGTACCAGTGGATATGGGTTTGTTCGTTGATTGTTTACCAAGAGAAGAGAGAAAAAGCCGGTAGTGGAGGGAGGTCCGACACCACATCCATGATCTTCTCGATCTATCTATCTATATCACCATTGCCGGAACGTTCTTTTCACCTAATATGTTCATCGTTGCAGTCGCCCTTCGCCTACAAGAAACCACCACCACAACCTCTATTTCTTTCTCCGACCAAGACATCTGTTTTTTTTGCAGATCTCGAGCACCACCACTGTGTAAACCACAAGCCGCCACCGAAACTAGGGTTTTCAGAGCCGTCGCTACTAGGGTTTGCGGCGGTCGTTTGGGAGTGAGGATAACGGGATGGTGGTGTTCCAGAAGGCAGAGGTGATGCGAAAGAAGATGTGATATTGATCCAGCGGGCAATAAATAATGGTGGTCGGAACCCTCTCTGTCAGAACCAGTCACCGAAAGATAGTGGTGGTGGTGGTATTTTCGTTTTCTGAAAATCATGAAGATTGAGATGGTTTTGTGAAGAGAGAGAGAGAGAGTGAGTGAGAAAGAGAGAGAGTGGTAGAGGTGGTCTCCGGTGACTAGGATAGGCCGACAGGTGGCGGTGGTCCGGCAGACGACAGTGATCTGTCAAATGGTGGTGGTCTAACAACGGTAGTCGGCAGGAGGTGGTGGTTCGGCAGCAATGAAGAAAGAGAGAGAGAGAGAGAGAGAGAGAGAGAGAGAGAGAGAGA